TGTATGTCTGCAGGGAACATTAAACCGTTCCTTAATATTTTATCCAATATTTCTAACTGCTTCCCCAGGTGTTTTCTCCTTGTCTGCTAGAAGGTTGTGATAAACTTTTCACTGTCTAAGGGGAAGAACACCAAGTAGCAGCAGGGTAAACAGAAATTGAAGTGGACTAAGACTTGAGCTACAGTTTTGAATTTAAATGGAACCACTGCACAGCTCTCAGTGATAGTTAACAACGAGGCACACGCACCTCTTTTACAGGAGTGTGTAGCAGAAAGTGGCACTGGGGTGGGGACTGACTGTTATTTTGTGTTCTTAATTCAGTTATGCCGCGGTTTACTGAGCAAGTGGAAGCTGCTGTGGAAGCACTGAGTTCAGACCCTGCTCAGCCAATGGATGAAAATGAATTTATCGATGCTTCGCGACTGGTGTACGATGGAATACGAGATATCAGGAAAGCCGTACTGATGATCCGGGTGAGCATAACTTACTTAAACAGCTTCCTGTTTTTCTGCTCACTTTCCTCCACCTTTATTGAACTGACAGGCATCAGTTTTATTGAAAGCAGACAGCGTAAGATTTTCATTTAGCTCATATTAACATTCAGAGTCTTAAAAACTGCTAATCGCTCTGTGGAGTACTTCAGAAGTACCTTTTGATTCAAATTCATTAAACAGATCTGAGCATCGATGATAGCCAGAGTTGTGATGCTAAATACCCTTCATGCATCTTTTTGTAATATCACGTTAATGCCTTGCTTGTTAATGTGCTAAAATCAGTGACCTCTGGTTTAACCACAGCAAGTGGATTCATAACTATAGATGCTTTTTGATGGTTTGAGAGCTTAGAAATAAAACCTGATGGCTCTTTGTTAAGTAAATTTTGAGAATTAATGCTAGTTAGTCAAAAACAGGTTTAGATGAGTTCAGTCTGTAGTTCCTAGAGCATGTAATTTGTTAATTGGCTAACCTCGGTAAACAGGGACCAGTTCGCAGAGGCTTTGTCTCTTCTGTGCTTGCGTGTTTCAGGTGGAGTGAGCGTGACTTGGAAGCCCTAATTTCTGGTAGGTCAGGCAATGTTAGACTGGTAGGAGGCGTGCAGGGAAGACGCAGAAGGGCTCCTGCAGTTGATTGAAGGGATGCAGAAAAGGAAGTTCTGGTTGAGGCTGACCTGTGGGCATTTCTTGAATCTTAGTGTGGTAAAAATGGGCAGGAGCCAGACCCAGGAAAAACAAACGTAGGGGTTTTAGTCCTTTTTTTCCTTTTTCTTTGTACTCCTCTGACTCCAACATAAATGCCTTGCGGAGAAACTGTCTTCACATCTTTCAGAATGGTAACCATGGCAGATGCATTTTGGTGATAAGTTAATTAAGGATGTACAGCCCCAGAATATTTGTGATTATAGTAACCATTGCAATAGTATCTTCTGTGTTTGTTGCTTAAAGCAAAGAATCAGATGGAAAATCAGAAGAAAAGCTGACAACCACGTATGTGCTCTCCATATAACTTTAAGCTCAGGATTTATAGACAACCAGTGTTAGATGAAGATATCAATTCTTTCCTGCTATGCAGACAAACGAATTTGATTCACCCCCTGCTAAAGTCCTTGTTATTCAGGACAGGAAGGCATGAGTGCCAATTCCACGTCGTCAGTAATTAGCCGAGCTGATGATGCCAGGAATCCTGACGTTTCCCCTTGCGCCGCATCTCTGATGTCCGGGTGCCACAGCTTTATTGCAGCTGCCAGTAGCTAACGGCAGCTCACTGGTGACACATCAGTGACCTATAAAAAAGTAAAAATGTTAGTATTTGTTGTGCAAAGGGCTGTAAGGTGTAGAATGTATTTAGGATAAGAGAGCCATCCAAACGGAGATACCAGGCCACCACTCCTCCAGGGCTTTGTCTCAAACTGGACCACACTCGAGGAGGGATGCTGCTAAGCTTGGCTGGGGCAAACGAGCGCATTCACTTGAAACTTTGTCCGATGACGCTTGTTTTTACAGGAGCCAGAAGGAGAAGTCACTCAAACACCTAATTTTTGTATTTATGCAGTGTATTTTGAAAACTAAAGTCTTACTATATCTGTAGGTTATTGAAGTAAAGCTCTTTCCTCCCTGATCCCCAGGCAATCTCTCGTCACCCCCAGAGGAGTTTTTGCCCTTGATGACAGGTTGAAAGGCAGAATTACACTTTGTATATCCCAAGTTGTTTGGGCTTTGGGATGGATGGGCAGAGAAGGGAGCTTGAGAATCATAAACAGTTTCTAACGGTGCAGCAGAACTGTTTTCTTTTTTTTTTTCATTTTTAATTTTTTAAATATTGATACACTGAGCTGCTACTTAGTATATGTCCTTATGCTGATTTTGTGGATATACTCTCTTCTTCAAGGCATGGAGAGGAGATGGTGGCTGAAATACCCTAAGTCTTGATTGTCAGCATACTCACCTTTCCTTTTTGGCAATATTTTGCGTCTCTCTCTCTTTTAGCTGTATCACAAGATGTCTGTTTTGGAAAACAAGTTTGTAAAATCCAAATCATTGGCAAGAAATCTGAAGAACAGGGACTTTATTTGCATCTTATCTGTTAATCACAATTTATTTTATTTATCAGTGAAGTTCTTTGTTGATCCAGCTCTGCAGAATTGTCATGAAGTGCCACTCTAGGCAAAGATGTAGTATTTTGACAAACATGCTGTTTAAACTTGATATGCTTTATAAAAAGTTTGCCAGCTATAGACTGGCAGTAGCAAAAATAAATCCTAGGCAAGCAGGAACTAGGTCAGATGTGTTTAGCCTACAGCATAAAAGCTGGCCCTTACTAGCTTAAAATTTTCAGCTTTTCCTCGGGGATAAGAATAAATTTCGATATATTTTATCTGTTGTTAATTTAGTCGATGCTTTGATTCATAATTGTGCTAAAGACAACGTCTGTGGTTTTGAATTGGGCCTTAAAGCTGTGTGTAATTTTAGCTTCAGAATCTCAAGTGAAGCTTTTACATTTAACCAAGCTGCAAAAATACCGTTCATTTTGCAAAAACTTTTTTCCTGTGTTTCAAGTCCTGAGTGCATTAGTGACCTGACAAATCTCAGACACTTATTACTGGTATGTAATTTTGAGGATCCCTATGGTGTTTAACATGAGCAGTCAAGCATATATAATCACATGTGTTCACAAGCTGGATACAGTCCCTGTATTTACCTTTTTGTTGAAAACATTGAATAACTTTTACCTTCGCTGCTATCCATTCTTTCTGCTTGAAAAACAATATTCTTGTTGATTTTTAGAGCTGTGAAATCTGTTGTTTGACTCTGACTGAATTACTGTTTCCTCAGACTCCTGAAGAGTTGGATGATTCTGACTTTGAGACTGAGGATTTTGATGTCCGAAGCAGAACAAGTATTCAGACTGAAGATGATCAGCTTATTGCTGGACAAAGTGCGAGGGTAAGGAAGAAATCTGAGCATTATAAAACTGTGACCTGCCTTCCAGAAACAGTTCAACTTGCTTTGAAAATCCAGGTTAAATTTTTTAGGGGGGGGTGGTGAAAATGTTGGATCAGAAAACTGGCATTCTTTTTTTACAGTTTTCTTCTGAAAAGGAAGGTAAGTGAAATGCAGTGTGTGTTGGTCTGATGGATGTGAGAAACATCTGGGACTTATTTTGGATGTTCTGAAAGATCAAAATCCTTTTGATACCAATGAACTGCTTTATACTTTGACATCGCAGACATTGTAGGCACTGCGGTTTAGTTAGGTGAGCTTCTGCAGGGAGATACGGGGCAAATAATTCCATTGTACTGACGTTATTTTCAACAGGCAAATACTAAGTTTGTGGGCAAGAAATTTTTACAAAATGTCTTTCTCTCACACGTGTTGGTGTGCGTTTGGCCACTGAGCATTTATCAAGACAATGTTGAGAGGAGCTCAAAAATGAAATAATTTAAACTAACTACATTTCCTATGACTGTTAAAAATGAAAGCATTGATAGGCAATATATAATCATTAATAGGTGAAAACTTAAAATCAGTACATTGAAGGAAAAACAGGCCTTGCCTATTGTTTTTATTTGACATGTCCCCTTCCGGATCGATAACAATTTACACTGTTGGGAAAGTGCCATGGAAGATTTTTTTATGAAGGCTCTTCTAGCCTAAAACCAGGCAAGAAGTAGCTAGGCCTTATTTATCAAACTTCTGCCACGTTGGCTTTGGAATTATACTGACTGAGGGTATTTTTTTATGCTCTCCTTCCTTGTACAAGCAGTCTCTATTCCTGTATCCCTCTCCCCACTTTTATTTAAATGCAGACATTTCTAATTTACCTTTTAGCACAGCTGCTGCCAGAGGCTTTTTTGTACTGAAGATTCCTTTTCACCTGCTCCTGGAGGCATGAATGCTCCTAGTATTTATGACGGCAAGGGCATTGAGTCTCATATGGGCTGTAAACCTAGTCTTAATAGATTTTATTCAGGAGTAAGCACATACTCTTTATTTTCACTTACTTTTTCCTCAGTATGCATGTTTCAAAATAGTACATATAGCTTTTTGCAGGAAAGAGACTCGAGATATTTCTTCTGTGCATTGCAATGCTGAAAGATACCCAAGTGGAACTTCCTTTTAAAACTCTGCAATTTTATAGAAAAGGCAAGTCCTGCCTCTTCATACAGTTTTTCTTTGAGGAATGGTAATGTGTGGCAAACTTGTTTGGAGTCTTAACAGTTCTACCACGCAAATGCCCATGGTTCAGGTGTCGTCTTTCTGGGCATTCTTTCTTAAGAAAGAGCATAAATTTTGATTCAAAATGGAAGGAAATGGTTCTGTAAAGCCTCTAGGTAGAAGATTGCTATTAAAGTTTTATCCCCCATCTACATGACTTAAATTGGTTATTAGTGAAATGTTCCAAACAGCCTTCTACAAGTGGCGGCATAAGGCAACGTGAGAAAACTCTCTTTCAGGCTATCATGGCTCAGCTCCCTCAAGAGCAAAAAGCTAAGATTGCTGAGCAAGTTGCAAGCTTCCAGGAAGAGAAGAGTAAATTGGATGCTGAAGTATCAAAATGGGATGACAGCGGTAATGATATAATTGTTCTGGCAAAACAAATGTGTATGATTATGATGGAAATGACAGACTTTACCAGGTGAGTCTTTTTGATTTGTGCACACAACACCTTCTCTCAGAACTGGCTGGGATGCTGATCTTTCAATGAAATATTTTGCAAGTACTCTTGAGAGTCTTGCTTCTTATAATTTCCTTTAAGTGTTACCCTGTTAAGCCTGGGTATTAACTCAGGAGATGCATTACTATGCAGTGACTGGGTGGTAATAACTGTTTAAATTGATCTATAGATACACAGCAGTTATTGCCTGTCTTTCTTTCTTTCTTAGGGGTGATTCTTGTCCCAAGGAAAAAATATATATATATTTGCTCAGTTCTTTACAACATTAAATTCTATGGGCTTCTCGATATTGCTATACTGCAGAAATAGTTCCTAGTACAGTTATTTGCAAAAGAAAGAGAGATTTTTTGATGCCTTTTGAAATTCATTTACCAGATTTTATACAACACTATTTTTTAAACTTGATGTTGCGTTTCATGAAAATTGCAAATCTGTCTTCTAAAATGTTATTTCTTATCATCATTAGGTTGCTTAAACAGTAAAATTTAAGATGTTTTTATTCCCAGATTTAATCTGAATATGGGGAGGGGCTGGAAGGGGGAAACGGTCTTGAAAATGAAGGTGCTTCATCTGCCTATTTCTGTGCAACCTTATTTGTGCAGTTTGGGTGAGGCATCACTTCCAGTACTGTGTGGAACAGAATGAGAAAAGCAATATGTAGTTCACCCTTCTGCTTTTCTGGTGCTAGAAGGTAGAATCTGTTCTGGTTTGCAGAGGTAAAGGTCCACTGAAAAATACGTCAGATGTGATTAGTGCAGCCAAGAAGATTGCAGAGGCTGGGTCAAGGATGGACAAGCTGGGACGGACTATTGCTGACCATGTAAGTCACAATTCATTTTCATAAGCCTCCAGGACAAATGAGGAATAGGAGATCTTTTAGTACTGCAGACATGATGAACAGAAGAAAATGTGTTCAGTTTTGAGGTTTTGGCGGGTTTTTTTTTAACTGGTTTTCCAGGTTTGCTGCTGGAAAATTCTAGCCTTTTCTTTCTAGCTGCTCTCCTGCCACCCTAAGCAGTGTAAAGAGCTAAATATGCCCAGCAGTAACACTAGCAGCTCCTTGGCTTAAATCAAGCACCTACCATTTTAAGGTAGCAATATGCCAACACTGCTTCATGTCACATAGTATCTAGGCCAGTTTCTCTAACTGAACAGGACTGAAACTGAATTCGTGTCACTTCTGTCATGCTCAGAATACGCCCAATACTTTCCAAAGCAATGAAGAAACAGCGTAGGCAACACCGTAATTACTGCACGTGGACTATTGCACAACTTTAATATTGTTTTTGAGGCAGCATTTCAGTATTAACAATTTTCAAATGCCCCATGGATTGAAATAGTGTGAGATTGTCAAAACTCTAGTATTTTTTTTCGTTGTCCAGAGTTGATGAACACTTTGAGTAAGGCACATAGTGACCCAAGTACTTGCTATGCTGTCTCAGGCTGTTGTGCGTGATGTTGTGCTATATGTACAAAAGTATTTGAAAAGAATTCTTACAGGATTGAACAAGTATGGCCAGCTCGAGGTTTTTATGCAATGTGTCTGCCTGTCCTGAACCACTTCAGAAACTGGGCTGGGCTAAGCAAAAGTGCCTTTGGTCTCAGTCCACACCCAAATTGCAGAGAAACATCAGCATTAGTAATAATATTCTGCCTTCAAGAGAGGCCCTGAAATGCAGGTAGGTTAGGTCTGAGATCACGGACTAAACTTCCTTTTGTACAGCTGTCACTTGCTTTTCAGTCCGTCTCTGAATGTAAATTCATAATGCAAGGTTTTAAACAAAACCATGTCGCTCTGGAAGTAAATCTTTGTAATGCAGATCTGTCTTTAAATGTTGCATCCAGAGGATGTTGTTTTCACCCTAATTTATTAATGATGCTGTGAGAAATGTTCAATGGGGAGATAATGTTGAGAAGTGCTTTTTAAAATTGGGCTCCTTGCTATGGTATTTTGACAACTGTATTTCTGGAAGAATCAGGTGTGCTGCTGCTGTAAGTGAATGAAGCAAGGAGCAGTTTGTTTGTGTTACAGATCTCAGGGGATCTTGGGCTGAAGGTTTACAATGCTTTTTTTTTTTTTAATTCACATGTTTTATGCAAACATGGTATATGGTTTTCTGTACCAAGCCATTTCAAAATACAGAAGAAAACTAAATGGCTCCTTTTAGTAGAAGTAAGGTCCTTAAAAATGTAAAAGATTAATAAGCACATGTTTGAAGATAAATACGAGCAGGACTGTACAGTTAGTCATTTTGACAAGAATATAGCTTTTTTTCCTGACTCCATACTCTACTAATACTTTCATCTTGCATATTTCATTAGATATGCTTACATACTCCTTAGAAACTTGTTAATGTAGAACTATCTGACAGTTACAGAGGACGTACAGTGCGACCATTTCAGCAGAGCACTAATGCTTTCCTATGCCTAATACGGGCTTTTAACAAATGGATGGGGTTTTATGTCCTGTTTGCCATGTGACACCGGGTGAATCATGACCCCTCGTGTTAGTGTGTCAGGAACTCCTAACTCCTGCCGTCAGGCAGTTTTACGGCACATTTCCTTTGAAACTATAAAAGCTATTATCCGAGGTATTTCACGTCTGTTGAAAAGTGTCTAGCCATCAGCCGGCAGATTTTCCCAAAGGTATTCCATCTTTCTCTCAAAGCAGCAGTCGGCTTGTTTTGAATGGGGGAATATGAAGCAGTTATGAGTACAACACAAATGAAAATGATTTGCAGCAAGTCGGTGATTCTCCGTATTTTTTTTTTTCCAATGTTGAAATACTTGCAAAGCGAAAGAAAAATTCTCTTGCTTTTTTTCTTTGCTAGTGGTGGGAGGTTGAGTTTATATCAGTTATCCGATCATTAAATGGAAAGGAGCTGGAGGCAAGCGTAAGGATTGCCTCGCTTTCCCAGTAAAACGCTCTGGCAGCCTCTTGCTGTCGAGACTGGTCCGTGCGGTGCGGAAGCTGGTCCGGGGATGTGCTCCGGGCACAGGGCGACGGCTGCCGACGGGCACTGCCACGGGCCTGTCCTGCCCCGGTTACTGCTTCCCCTAAACACCGGCTTTCAGCTTCTCAACCAAACAGCGCCAAGCCCATCTGTTACATAGGGCTGGCGGGGGCATTTTATTGTGAATTATCGTTAGCGGCAGTGTTCATACCCTAAATCGGAGATACAGTGGGAGGAAGAAAAGTCTCAGCGGTTGCTTGCTCACACCTACAAGACACGTGGGGATGGGGGTTGTGTGCTTGTCTTAATCGGCACACACCACGGGCGAGCTCTTCTGTCTTTCTCTGCCCCTTTGCTTTGCAAAAAGGGAGAAAAAGGTGATTCTGCTTCTCCGCAGGCTCAGCTGGGGCAGGAGGAAGCAAATGTGCGTGTGTGTTTCCTCTGTCCGGGACGGATCCTGGATTTGACTTGGAGCAGCCAGCTTAGCTTTTGCCAACAGCCACCACTGAGTCTGTGGCAGCGTCTCGGTTGGGGGGGGGGGGGGGGGGCCCCCCCAACACATTTCGGTGGCAGCGTCTCGTTTGGGGGGGGTTGGGGGTGTCCCCCAACACACATTTGTTTCTGTCTACAACGCAACTGTCTGCTGTGGCCGTGTTGTGGGAATCCGCCCAAGCTAGCTCTGCAAAGGGGTTTTTTGTGTCTGTGGCTGTTGTAGGTTAATACAATAATGTAATCTTTCTTAATCAGTGTTGGAATTGTTGCCTTTTGGGTTTTTTGGTTTTTATCTGAGTGTTCCTGGGTAGGAAAGGACAGGGCTCATACAGGCATCCGCAGTGCCTTTTGTTGATGTTCTTTTTTATCCTGTGTTACATCTCTATTTAAACATCATCTGTCTTTGAAGTGAATTCTCTATTCTTCTCATGGCACACACAGTATAGGATGTGGTGTTCCAACTTGCATCATATTGATATATACAACCGAATGATATTTCCTATTCCACTGCTTTCCCCACTAATGTTTTGCTGCCTCCTTCAGCCATTGGTAAACATGCGGCAGCTTCTTTCCTTGAGAGTGTCTTTCCTTAAATGGTTTCCATAAACTCACAACCCATAAAGTACCTTGAATTGTTTAGCGGTCCTTTTGACATGCTGTATTGTGCATTTGTCAACATTCAATTCAATCTGCCGCTGCGCTGCTCGTTCGCTTTGTTAGATGAGCTGTTTGGAAGATGGAGAGCATTTTCCAAAATGGTAATTTCAGCTTTTCATTAGCTCTTTGGCCGATGCTATTTGTGGACTTTCTCTAAAACATCTTGTGCTGCTGACTAATATTGATTAGCTTAAAAAATTAACCTGCAAGCTTTGCTGCTTTGTTATTCACGATTTTCACTTCGCTGATGGAAGCAACGTGCCTACATAAGAGTTGCAGATACTTCGGGAGTTTCATTACCTTCCTTGGGACTAAGAAGGTGACTTCTGTTAGTTTACAGTCACACTGGCTCAGATGCCCATAAAGCCATCCAGATCGCCATAGCCTGTGTTACACAGCCTGATGGGCTTGGCCCAGCTTGCCAAAAATCCCGTCGTCGTGCCTCGTGTGTATGCGCGTGTGCTTCCTCAGGTCACAGCTCAGCAGCCTGCCATACAGAAACATCTCTCTGTGCACCATATAGTACAGCTCTTTCATCTCTGCTGTGCTGAAATCCCACACTGGCTTAGGAAACCCACTTGTTTGACCCTGGAAAAAAAACCCAAATGTGTTTATTAACTCACTTTCCTTTCAGAGTTAAATGTCTGCTGTGGCAGATCGGTTACTGTTGTGAGAAGCAAATGCTCCATGTGAATGGGACCCCCCTGTTTGCACACCACTGCTTGTGCAGCACGGTGATCTGTTCTGGTGCGGTCTCGTTTTGTGCCTTTTATATACAGGGAAACTTTGGTTCATGCCTCCATCTTGTAGCTAAGGAGAGAAGATCTGCAATGAGAAGTAGGGCTCAGACCCCACTGCTGACACCCGAGAGGGAATTTTTACCTTGCCCTGAAAGGAGAGGAGAGGCTGCATGGCCGTAAGCAATAAACCTGAGTTTGAGTGAAGCAGTAAGTAGTAAATTGGTGCCACATTTAAGATTATTAGTTATGCGTCTTCATGTGATGGTCTGTTGTACGGGATCAGGGTACTAGATGGAAGGGGATTTTGCTATGAAGAGAGGTATGTGGAGAAGAGCTCTTGCAGACTGCGCAGATCTCTGAATCTCAGGGTCTGGTCGGTGGGAAGCAGGTGCTGGGTGAAGAGAAGCAAATGCTGCTTAAAGCAAGACTCTCGTCATGTCCAACACTAGTAAATCACTGCGACCGCTCCTGGTTTCTGTGGAGTTTTTGGTGCTTGACTGGAGGCAGCTGGTGCCTGCCTGGCTTCTCCGGGCCGAGCGGCTGATCGGGCAGACCTGCAGCTGAGGCGCTGCTTGGAGGGGAGGAGTGGAGGGCAGCGTGCCCTGCTTGCCGTCAAGGTAAGCTGTGGGGCCAGGGAAAAGCATTTGGATTTTGTATGTGAGTGCATGAGTGTATGGGGGACTGGAAAGCCTGCATTTAGTGACCGGGAATTGTGTGCCAAGACCCTGGATGCTGGAGATTTATGAGTTTCTGGATGAGGTGCAGCTGTCTAGGAAGGATGGAGATCACGGCAGGGTCTGCCTTCGGTCCTGTCGCTGGTTAGTGCCAGTTGATTGAATTCCTGATTGGCTGGGACGGTCCTAAAGGGGAAATAATTCTGGGTACAACATTGCCTGCCTTAAAGCAGAAAACTTAAGGATCATTGTGAGTCTGATCTTGGTTTTGTCCAGAAGACCTGTGAATGCTGGGTGGGAAGACGAGAAGATGATGCACAAAGTGGCCGTTTCAGAGGAGGAAATAGCACAGGAGCTCGCAGTGCAGTACGACCGGTTGCTTGCTCTGGAGTTCAGATGAGGGTTTAAGCAACGGTACGTTTGACAGTGCAACGTAAACCACGTGGGCGTTGAAGCTATAGGCGTCCTGTGTATGCACGTCACACTCAGCTCTAAATTTCCTGCTTTGGTCAGAAATGTACATGCTTCACAGCGTGGTGTCCTCACCGGTGGGCACCAGAACGTGACCTGTTGGACCATAATATCCTCTGCATCCCTACTGCAATAGTTTCTGCCAGCGCAAATATATCCAGACTGGTTTAAAAATCTGTCATCTTGAGCGCTGCTTGCAGCACCGCAAGCGACGTCTGGAGGTGAGAGCCTGCCTGAGTACTTACCCACTCGTGAGACGTTTTTTGCCCGACGCTGGGGTGCAGGCAGCCGGAGGTGCCCCGCTGCTGTTGCAGGCCCAGGGCAGGAGCGTGGCACGCGTGCCCTTGGCTTTATTCAGCAGCAGCAGCACGAGAGTCTGGTGGGCAAAGGGTTTGTGGAGTTCAGTGCGTGCCAGCCGCTTTATTCACGAGTCTTCATACAGCCAGAGTGTGCCAGTAGATCTGAGATGGCCCGTTACTCTTTGGAGAAGTGATGCAGGACACCATGCTCACTGCCGTTTTTAAAGATACCGCAGGACTGGCATGGGTAGTAAAAGGCTTCCCGTAGCCATTTTGTCGTACGCTTGCAGATCCTGTTTTGGGTTGTGGCTGCCCCTCAGCAGGGCTCCTCTTGTTTTGAAATCCAGCGTGAGCCTGGCTCATTAATCATCTCGCCGCTCGGCGCGGCAAAGCAAGGGATGGCCCTTGGTTCCTGTCCGAGAAAACAGCTTTCTGAACTGCACTGCAGTCTCCAGTACCTATGTAGTCTTTCAATTGCAAAGCTGAAAAAGTGACTTTTATCTTATGGATGAGTGCTTTGGCAAGCACTTTAAAAATTTTTATTTCATGCCTGGTGAGGAATCTAGTTTCCACACTGCTAAGAAATGGGAGCGGGAGTCAGGAAAATATCTACTTTGCTGGATATAATTGAGTAACTGTCAGGTTTATCATTTCCTAGCTTAAAATACTTAAGATTGAGAATTGAGGCTGGATTTGGTAACATCTGCTAGTTGCAACTTGAGATCTTGGATGTGAAATCATTGCGGCTGTCCCCTGTATGGTGTACAGGAAGGACCTTTGATAGTTAACAAACCTGCTGGGGAAAGGTTAGGTGGTCCTTCTCCTCCTCCTCGTGGGGAGCTGAAGGGCAGCCGTGAAGCTGAAAGGAGCCCTGGCAGTTTTGTCCAGCGGCTGCCCTTGTGTTCTGATAGCCCGTGTTTATTGCTTCTGGTTTTTTATATGTATTTAGTGATGCCCATGTATCGCTCCGTTGTCTTTTGAAAAGCAAAGCTCAACAGATCTCTGGAGCACATTCGGTGTTACAGAACGGAGTTGTCTGTTTTCTCCCAAACTGATCTCTGTTTCCGTTTTTATGATTGCAAAGTAAAACTTCACCTTTGTTTTTTCCAGTGCCCCGATTCTGCGTGCAAGCAGGACCTCCTCGCCTACCTGCAGCGCATCGCGCTGTATTGCCATCAGCTCAATATCTGCAGCAAAGTGAAGGCTGAAGTTCAAAACCTCGGAGGGGAGCTGGTTGTGTCTGGGGTACGTATGAACTATGACGTGTCCGGTTCTTGTGGGTTTTCTTCCAGGGGTGACCATTGTTCCAAGCTAAGCTTATATGCTAAACGTTATAGAATATAGACAAGAGATTTTGGAGCATTCAGTCAGTGTTTTAATGTATGTAAAGTTTATACTAACTGCCTGCGCTGCCTCATTGTTCTTGGAGGAAGTGCTTACTGTTTGGGGAGGGGGGAATACAGACTTCACTTTTCCTAACTCAACAGCGTTTGTAGGCAGATTCACTTTACCTTTGTGTAAATCTACTGTTTTTCCAGACTGCTTTTCACCCTTAGTGAGGTTAAATCACTTCAATCAGCATAGCTAAACCTGCCCTGCGTCTCTGCACGGCCTTGGAACATGCTGGGGTCCTGCGGTGCTCCAGAGACGTTAATATTTCAAAATAGCTGTGCCCTGAAGAGTGCAGGGATTTTTAGTGGCTGCTCTGTTTTATGACAGCTGAAAGCTGCCGTAGGCCAGCCTGCTTCCTTATTCTAGCCATTACTTAGCAAATAATTTTTTCACTGTAGTTCATGAAATGCTTCCTCCTAAGAGGAATCTGTATGACGCATATTTGGGCAGGAGGGAAGTGGAGCTAAACTCTTTATTTCTTCTGGCATGTTCTTCCTTGCCCTGGATGGGTATGTTTGATGACTGGTGCTTTTGCCCATCCATGTCGTGACTGAGGTTGGAGGTTTGAAGAAGGGACAGAAGTGGCCGATAGTCCAGTATTGCTGTCTGAATCCTTAAAAGCAAATGGGAAAAAAACCTCGCCATCTTCTGCCTTTTAGATATTTCTTACTTCCTAGCACATCTTTTTTCCCCGCAGGCAAGCTAGGATTGTAGAATGAGTGCTTCGGGACGGCAGTAGCTGAGGGAGGTCTGCTGCAACCTGCTGCAGAAGCAGCGGTGGTGACGGACCACGCTTGCGAAAGCTTAGCACCTTCACGGGGGAGATGGGCTTCTCTGCTGCACCTCCTCCTGCTGCCGGTCCCACGTGCTCGGATTTCCAGCACAGCGGAGCCGAGTGATGAGACGTAATGAAACGCGGTGCTGCGCGTCTCTGTTGCATGCCTGATGTCCTGTTAGCTGGAAGGCTGAAGGCATCGTGCTGTCAAAGCAGTAGATGTGTCATTATGCAATAATATGTACTCCAGGGTTTTACTGCAGCTATTCAGTGTCTTCGGAATTTACATACCCTTCTGCCGTAAATTAGTTATATGAACAGGCTGGCAGCTGTAGTCTCATCTCCTGGTTTTATCTGTTCTCTGCGAGTCTGGCCACTGGGGCTAAATATTGCCAGTAGTGGTGTTAAACTTCTCTGACATTGGTCTCAGATGAAGGCTTCTGCTAGTCCAGGAACTTCACCTGGCTAAAAGTAAAATTCCTCTCAGTGTTAACGTCCTGCCCCATCCACGTACCGCAGAAATTTTGTGAAAGTGGAGCTATAACCACGGCACTAAGAGCTTGCACCCTAAGCCATCTGAAAATTCATTTAGCAAAGTACCTCCTTGCTTTCATTGCATTTAATACGATTCTTCCTGCTGTGAAGATTCATGGAAACAGTCAAATGCAATGAAAGTGTTTTCCAGCCTGAGGACTGGGGTGAGGAAAGCAGATGACGCTGGTTTGCTGGAGGGCGCAGATCCGATCTGCCGTTGTGGCGCTCAGAACGCAGCGCGATGGAAAGGAAAGGTACCAGCGCCGGCAGAAAAGCAACCACCCCCCTGCTCAACTTGGTTTGCTGCTAGACCAGCAACGGGCTTCAAGGTTTTCCCCCAAACCTTCCTTAGATGTCTACAACACAGGAACTGAAGTGTGTAGAGGCAGCTGAGCGCAGAGGTGCTGAAACCCCACCCAGGACCTAAACCCTGCCCCAGGCCGTTGGGCATTCGTGAGGTGGAGGTCCCACCCGAGCAGGGCACTGGCACCCGGAGAAGTCCGCGCCACCTCAGTCATCCCCCCCATTTTTGGCTCTTCATCTCTGCCATGCGCTAACGCTTCGGCAAAGCTTTTTTTTTTTTCCTCATTTTAATGCTGTTGTAAATCAGGAACCACCTGGGAAAGGGCTCCAGGCCTGGCTGAAGATGTGGTTGTGTTCCTTCCTTTCCAATACAACTTAATATTCTAGGGTGATTTAAATATTTATTATCAGTGATTAAGATATTACTACAGCTTTATTAATTTCATTAGAGAATAAGCTACTGTTAAAGCTTAGTCACAAAAGCAAACAGCAGAATACAAATCTTTCCGATTGCCATTAATATGGCAAAGGCACCGACCACGGGCAAACGTTGTGCTTTTACTTTTGGTGGCACAAGTCAGGTTTTTCCCACTTGGTGTCCAAAGAAAAATACCGCCTCAAATTTGGAACCTCAGATTTCCAAAGAAAACCCAGAAAAATCAGTTGTTTACACCCTGGGACTAGCATGTTTTCTGGAATGTACTGTATTGGTGTGGGGGTTTTTATGGCGTATAACACTTGGGTGTTACCATTTGGCAGGTGGACAGTGCCATGTCTCTTATCCAAGCAGCCAAGAACCTGATGAACGCGGTGGTGCAAACCGTGAAGGCTTCCTACGTGGCGTCCACCAAGTACCAGAAGTCCCAGGGCATGGCTTCCCTCAATCTTCCCGCCGTCTCTTGGAAGATGAAGGCTCCGGAGAAGAAACCCCTGGTTAAGAGGGAGAAACAAGACGAAACCCAAACTAAAATCAAGAGAGCGTCCCAGAAGAAACACGTTAACCCGGTGCAGGCTCTCAGTGAATTCAAGGCGATGGAGAGTATTTAAAGAGAGGTCTCTGTCTTGGTTATTTTATTATTTTTTGTTTTCTCTAGCCCACTACTGCTACTTCCAGAACTCTACTTTTAATATTCTAAGGATTTTTCGAAAGTTTACTATTCCTCAAAATGTATTTACTTAATATAATTTTGATAACTTTGTTTAGATTACGTGGGGAAACGCTCAAATTTATAAGTCCTATCAATATAGCTTCAGCCTGCGGAAGTGTGTTAATTTAGATTGCTTTTAGACTTCAGGGGTGTATTTCTAGCTGAAAATTGTTTTGTATAATCTTGCTTTAAATAAAATATTCTATAACCAAAGAGGATTTTACAGTAACACTAACGGTTAACACTAATAGTTGAATCATGTTACTCAGAGACTGCAGTTTTTCATTGTGATCGAGAGAGGAAAATTAGATCTTTTCACTCAAAAAAAGAATTAATTAATTATTGTATGTATTAGTGTATTCCTGCT